GGTTAGGTTAGTTAAGACACTTTCTGGGCCGAGCGCTGCGGCTAGGACAGGCTAGAGGGCCGAGCGCTGCGGCCATGGGTTAGGTTAAGTGATGACACTTTCTGGGCCGAGCGCTGCGGCTAGATTAAATATAAATTGTGAAACATTTTTTTAAATTTGATATTATGGAGTTTGTATTTCAGAATTTTTTATTTTCAGGAGTTTGTCTCGTCAGGAGTTTGTCTCGTCAGGAGTTTGTCTTTCAGGAATTTGTCTTTTCAGGAGTTTGTCTTTCAGGAGTTTGTCTTTCAGGAGTTTGTCTTTGAGGAGTTTGTCATGGCGCCCACTGAACGATCAGTCAGTAAAATTGTTCGTTCAGTAAAATTGTTGGTTCAGTAAAATTGTTGGTTCAGTAAAATTGTTCGTTCAGTAAAATTGTTCGTTCAGTAAAATTGTTCGTTCAGTAAAATTGTTCGTTCAGTAAAATTGTTCGTTCAATAAAATCGTTCGTTCAAAAAAATCGTTTTTCAAAATATTTTTTCGAAAAAAATGTAGTTCAGAAATAGAAAAAAAATTATTTTTTAATATTCGAAAAATTAGTTTTTTTGTAAAATTCTTTCGTTTTGTAAATAAACAAACAACATCGTTCATGAACAATCAAGATCGTTTGAACGATTTTAATCATTTTTTGTTGTTTTTTTTTCGTTCGTTTTTATAAATACCAAATATTATTTTCATTTCTCTGAACGATTCATTTCGTTCGTCCATCGTTCGTTTTTTCACGAAAAATTTCATTCGATCTCAAAATTTTCGTTCTTTCAAAAATGCGATGCCCATCTCTACCCACCCTTACTCCGACCGTATACCTTATATAGTACTACGGGAGGATCTAAGTGAAAGCTGGTTTAAAATGAAAACATTCAGTTCTATAAGAGAACTCTAGAGAACCAGGTGTATACTGTATACTTGGACGAAGCAAAGGATTTTTTCACATATTTACAGGGACTGTCAGAGAGGCATATCCGATTTACAACGGTACCCTTAAAACTTTGAGTTGATCAATAATGTGGATGATCTCATCGTTTTTCTAGTTTGAAAAGCTTTTCAAAGGAGACCACTTTTGTAAATAGACAATTTTCTTAAAGAGAAACCATAGATATCTCATTCAATCTTAATTAGACAACGTACAGTTGTATATCGGACATTTAACTTTAGAAATGGAAAGTTTTTTGAAATTTTGTCTACAGTCCCTTTAAAAAGCTTGTTCACCTATTTAAAAAACAAAATATCATTAAAGGGACTGTAATCGTAATTCTAATTGACCCTCCATGAAAAGATACCCATAAAACTATTATCTAATCAAAAAAAGGATTCTGTCGTTTTCTAGTTTCAAATGTATCTGAAAATGTTTTTCTTCTGCAGTAGAAATGCGCAAGTCACGTACTTTTTGTTGTACCGTTGTGAATCGGGCATTGTCATCTTTGCATGGAGTGTCACTTAAAATTACACTTACATTTCCTTTGAGGACAAGAATAATTTAAACTTTCTGTCTAACGAAACATAGCCACTGATATCTAAAAAACGGGGTTTCTAAACGCAAAACTTGTGGTTTATTAGGGATTTTTTTAAATCTTAAAATTTATTAAATAAGATAATTTCAAATTGTATTTTTAGAATAAAAACTCAAGGTTTCATTTTTACCATTTAAAAATGAAGTTCGGGAATGCAGTCGTGTTTCTAGGAATGGTTTTAATCTCGTTAACTCTGCTTTCTTGGACAAGTCTTCAACAGAAAAGGTTTGTTAGATGAACTTCAAGAACTGTCAACCAGGCTACCCATTAATAATAAAACTGTCAGTTGGTAAAATAATAAACCAAAGAACTGTCAACCAGACAACCCATTAATAATAAAATTGTCAGTAAAATAATAAACCCAAGAACTATCAACCAGGCTACCCATTAATAATAAAATTGTCAGTTGGTAAATAATAAACCCAAGAACTGTCAACCAGGTTATCCATTAATAATAGAATTGTCATTTGGTAAATAATAAACCCAAGAACTGTCAACCAGGTTACCCATTAATAATAGAATTGTCAGTTGGTAAATAATAAACCTAAGAACTGTCAACCATTGGCTACCTATTAATAATAAAATTGTCAGCTGGTAAATAATAAACCCAAGAACTGTCAACCATGGTCTACTCATTAATAATAAAATTGTCAGCTGGTAAATAATAAACCTAAGAACTGTCAACCATTGGCTACCCATTAATAATAAAATTGTCAGCTGGTAAATAATAAACCCAAGAACTGTCAACCAGGCTAAGAATTCCGGAGAATGTTAATTTTTTTTTCATTTGATGAGTTTTATAAATCATATGTTTTTAATTCCAAAATATTATTTTTTGTTAATTACTTTATTTGAAGAGTCTCGAGATCTCTAACTGAAGACTATTCACAAGAATCTAATAGCACAGTTCATTTGTACATAGGTAAATTTAAATATTTAATTTTCTTTCTTTCATAAACGAAAAAATTTACAATGCAGAATATTCTATTTATAAAGTCGATAACATTATATTTGCTTTGAGTAAAAAAAACTTATTTTTGGCTTCAAAATAAAAAATCATTTTTAATAAAACTTTTTAAATGATTAACGGAACGTTCATTATTTAATTGTACATAAAGGAAACATAGTTCTTTATTTAACAAAGAACTTTATAATTGAATAAATTAATTTCTGTTAGCGAATGTAAAATTTTGAAAATTAAAGAGGAAATTTAAGGAAACAGGTGTAGAGGCAAGATATTTTAAGATTAAACTATGATGATCAGAATAAAAATCTCAACTTAATCTCAAAATGTGATAAAGTAACCCTTGTCTAAGAGCTTAGAAAAGGCTTTACATCCTTCACATCAATATTAAAAACACAAATTTTCTTCTTAAGAACGATTAATGATAATATCCAGCCAGGAACAGTCGTGACAATAAAAGTAATCAGCAGGACTTTAGAGTGGTCAGCCAGGACAATTAAGTGGTCAGCCAGGACAATTAAGTGGTCTGCCAGGACAATAAAGTGGTCAGCCAGGACAATTACGTGGTCTGTCGGGACAATTTAGTGGTTAGCCGGGACATTTAAGTGGTCTGCCAGGACAATAAAGCGGTAAGTCGAGATAATAAAGTAGTCAGCCGGGACAATAAAGCGGTCAGCTGGTACAATTAAGCGTTCAGTCGGGACAATAAAGTAGTCAGCCAGGACTATGAAGTAGGTTTGACCATTTGTTTCAAGTAATGAAGGTGTGATGAGGAAGTCCAATAATGTGGCCACTAGAGATAAAAATAAAAAAATACCTATTTAAAGATAGGACATATCAAAAGAATTCTAGAAGAATTCCACTTTGAATTTTTAGACGGATTTAATCTCATTTAATTGTTGATAAAGGAATTGAGTTTTAGCCACAAACTCTGATTTTCTAATTCCTATAACTTTGCAACCCGTTTTCCTAGACCTTTGATATTTCAAACTATTAATTCTGTTAGATCAAATAGTTTAAGTTTGAAATATCAAAGGTTTACATCATCAGGTTGCAAAGATATAGGAGTTAGAAAATGCGAGTTTGTGGCAAAAACTCAATTCCTTTTTATGAAATTTTGGAAAACAATAGAATAAACATAATCCCAAAAATTGTTCAAAAAATTAAATTTTTTAATATGTTTAGTAACACCAACCTACACAAGACTGGAGCAGGAACCTGAACTATTTAATATGTTTAGTAACACCAACCTACACAAGACTGGAGCAGGAACCGGAACTATTTAATATGTTTAGTAACACCAACCTACAAAAGACTGGAACAGGAACCTGAACTATTTAATATGTTTAGTAACACCAACCTACACAAGACTAGAGCAGGAACCGGAACTAGTCAGACTGGGGCAAACACTTCAACAAGTCAGTAGGAAGCTACCAGAAGCTTAAAGGGAGTGTTCGCGAAAAATGTAAGGGGGTATAGGCTTACGGCGATAAATAATCGCTTTTGATCGCTACAAATCTTCTATCAGTTGCGTCTATAATGAGAAAATTGTTAAAAAAACGTCTCATACCTAAGAACGTAGATTCCTTACAAATTCAGAAAGTTGCTACATACGATTCGGATCGTTTAACAAAATCAATTTAATTCTAAACAAATCATTCAAATATTAAAACTTATAGGCATCGATTATTTTTCGACACATTCGTATATTGCTAATATTTTATAATATTTTTTACTTTCTATGATGCTAGAGTGACTTTTGAAAACATTCATTCCTGATTCGAAGATTTTGATAATGAAGACGGCATTTTCCGGGAATGCGCCAATCGTGAAGACAAGTTGTAAGCGAAATATTAATTTTAAAAAACACAAAATAAAAAAAATATTATGAAATATAAACTATATACAAATGCGTCGAAAAATAATCGATGAATATAGGATTTAATATCTAAATTATTTATTTGATATTAATTTGATTTTTGTACGATCCAAGTGACAGGTCGTATGTTCCAACTTCCTCAAATATTCATCGCTGTAAGCCTATATATACCCCATTTCATTTTTCGCGAACACTCCCTTTTAATATGGCAATGCCCGATTCACAACAGTATCCTTGAAACCTATTTCTGATAAAAATGAGGAAAAAATTTATTTTTAAAATCATACCTGATAAAGCTTATACAAGGTACCGTTATAAATCGGGCATGGTCAACTTTGTCTAGAGGGTCACTTGGAATTACACTTACAATCTCCAGTTCCTTTAAAGTGACAGAAGGCGTAATTTCAAGGGAAATTCCATTTGTGGCGTGTTTTCTTCACAATACCAATTTAAGACTTACAAGGAACGGTTGTAATTGTTGATTCATTTGTATGCAACCTGGTTTATACTTAAAAGATTTTAATTATTTACTCCCTAGAAAATAACTATTTTCATTTTGGATTAAACACGGCATGTTCTTGGGTCACTTGAAATAAAACTTTAATGGCCCCCTTAACTGAATTTTTTTTTAATAAAATGGAATATTTGAATGTTGTTTCATTCTAAAAAAAGTATCATTTTTGCCTTTCTAACTTGTTTAAGCCAAAGCTTATAGGAACAGGGGGAGGTCATTTTTATTAATCCTTCCTATTAAGGCTCAAGAGGATTATGGAGAGATTTCAACATATGTCTTTAGTTCTTCTTGCAGGTATGTCAATTCATAACCAAGGCCAACAATGGTATAGCGTTTAGTCACATCCAAACAAGATATCCAAATAGCGTCAACTTTTTTAATTTAAAGGTCCACTTGTAGTAAATTTATATCACTTTCTTCCTTCAGAAACATTGGCTGGGATTAATATATTAAACTTCGACGGTCACCCACAAAGAATAAGACTTCAAAGACGACTTTACATTCAGTTAACAAGACGACATTCAAGATCAAATGAAATAATTAACATTATAGCTTTATCAGTAAATTATGGTATGGCATAATTTAAGACTCATCATAATCTAGACATCTGTAAAAAAGGTTAAGAAAATCTCAACTTTAAAGTGTTGCAACGCCATGACCTTTGGTTTTTTCCTCACAAACACCCATATGCGTTTTTGTAGCCCTAGAAATATACATTTTAAAAATACAATGCGCTTTTTCTGAGCGAAGGTTTAGAAGGAGTAAATGGGGAAAACATTGCTTGATTTTTGCGTAAGTTCGGCAGAGTTCTTCAAGTTTATTTAATGTGATTGCCATCTATTCTGTGTTACCTATGGGGGCAATATTAACTCTAGGTGGTTTAGCTAGCTTAATTGTCACAAAGATAAAAATACATAAAAGATGGCTATATGTATTATGTATAGACAAGTTAAACCGTATTTCATCTTTTCGAACAATAGCATTTGCTGTGCATACATTTAAAAAACAAATTGATCATGTTATTTTGTGCTTACGCAACGTTTTGGCAAATATTAAAGTTATTTATAATATATTAAAGTTATTCCAAAATTATTTTATTTTCAATTATATTCGTTATATATTTTCTATTTATAACAAAACTAAATATTTGAGTGAATAAAGTTTAAATTAGGTTTCTAAAAATATAAATTTAATAACATTCGACGTATTTTTTTTCAAGAATTAATTATCAAGTTTTTAAATATTCAGTTGACATTAAATATTTAATGCCAATTATTCAAATGACGACAATGAGAGTCGAGCCCTCCCCCCTTGCCATAATCATCCTTAAAAAAATCCTTTTTAAAAACAAAATCATGCGCTTGTTTAGACAACTGATTCCAACTTACATGACAAAACTTTATGAGGAACTATTTAAAGCTTTCAATGCAGTGATAACCAGAAACTGTGGAATAGGAAGACGACATCAAAGCCAAAACTAAATTGCTTTTGATGTTGTTACAAAGCAAAAAGCATACCTAGTAAAACGTCAAATCACTTCTGAAGTAAAAGGGGTCTAGGTTCAATGTTGACACCATAGAGAATAGAATATATAAAGTGGAATTAAAAGAATCTCTCGGTATGAATTTTTTCAGTCCCTTTCAGCCTGAAAGGGAGTTCAAAGTGTACAAATCATGTGTACACCTGCAGTATGGAAACAGTACAACAAAATGGCCGTTTTACACTTTTTTCTAGTAAATTCCTCTCTATATATTCTATTCTCTATGGTTGACACTGCACAATTCCTCAGATACAGGGTAACCCAGAAAGAATGAGACTTTAGAGACAACTTTACTTTATTTGTTTCTTTATATTAATGATTCAATGACTCTGTAACTTCTATGTAACTTTATAATTAAAATCCTAAACCTTGAACAAAGTACACGGGACCAAGGTTGTACAGCAAGGAAAGTTATTTCAGAGATGTACGCATCTTTTGTACTGCAGTGTTATACTGTCTGGGCGGTATTGTAATGGGATCCATGTTTCACAAAAAAAAATCAATGAAATATTCTGGACACAGGAAACTATTATGTGAATTATCACAATTTAATGCATTAAACCTTCGATACTAATCAATCACTGATACATCAATTCCTGTTTACAAGTTCCGCCCAGAGAGAACTGGTTTCAATATGTACAGAGAGTATACGCAACTGCAATTAACATTATAATATAACCTTGCGGGACTAACAAATATTTTAAATCGTAAAACGAAAAAAAAATAAAGAAATGCTTCATAAATATAATTAATCAACAACAATGTCGAAAAATGGGTCTTAAGCTGTTTTTAAACTGGCCACACAACACCCGTACACTTTTCCATAAATTATTAAACAGTTCCTATAATTGGTTTCTTAAACAAGGTCTAATGACGTACATGGCAAAACTAGGCTATTTTCGAATTATTCCGAAACAGTTGGCCACTTTGGTCCATTTAAAATAATGTTTAATTTAATTTTATAGGAAATATTTACTTAAAGGGAGTGAAACTATATATATAGATGAAGTTTAAAGGGGCTGTAAGCAAAAATGGCATGAAACCTTATCTGCTTAAAAATGTGGTAGACTTTATGTAGCTCAGAAAGTATAAACTCTGATAATTTCTTTATTGTTTCGCATAAGCCGAAAGTCACTTTTGCAAAGAAATTGCAATTGAAAATAAACAGTTTAAAACAACAAAAATTTCGATATATAATTTAATTAAGAAAGGGTACCTTTGTAAATCATACATTTCCATCTTTATATGAAGGGTCGTTAGAAGTTACACTTATAGTCCCTTTAAGCGTAAAAACTAAGTTTTTTTGCACACATCGTTAGAACCAATAATAGTCTATTTCATTAAAATGTTAAATTTAACTTTTTATTAGGATTGTAAAATATAATTTTAAAAATGTGATAAAAATGCAAAATATCCTGCGTCTTTCCTTGTAAAAAAATGAAACGATTATAAAAAACTGAATTGAGTTGGAACCATATTGTGTATTGGATATGTGTTCTTCCAATTACTAAGGCTATCAATCATTAGAATTTGATAAAACCTTAATAAGATATTTCTGCGTAGAAAACGAAAATAAACCTATCAAAATTTTGCAAACTACTGCTTTTAAGCTTATTATAAATCATGCCAAATTTTAACAAGATTTTTTCCCCAAATTTTTTGTCCGTGTCCATATTCCTGAATAGTAGCAATAAGTATGGTTGCTTTTTGTAATTTTTTTCAAGATACTGATTATATTTAATGAATTTATTGTAAAATATGACACAAACATTTTACAAAGAAGGTTAATTCTGTTTGAATTCATTGTAATTAAATGAGTTAATTATGATTTATGAACTAGGATTTGTATTCCCTACCAAGGATAATTATAGAAGGACGGTCAGGAATATGGAACATGCATTAAGCACCATTATGATTGGGAATTGGAAGACGACATTGACTATCAACTACAGGGTTACCAACAAAGGATGAGACTTTAAAGATGACTCGAAACTCCTGAAATATGACTATCCTAGGCTTTAATTAAGTCTTCTGTCTTGAATGTAATCTCTTAATATAAAATTTAATGATTTTAATAAAAAAGAAAGAAGTTTGAAGTTGCAAGGAATGATGAATATAAGGAAACAGGCAGTATAGATTCGGTACAGTCGTCTTTGAAGTCTCATCCTTTGTGGGTAACCACAAGCACATAAACCAGTATCTTGAAACCTAATTTGTTTTGTGAATCAATAACATACACCCACATTTTGTACACACAGGAATCCCCCAAACAAATACAAAAACCAAGACATGATTTTACAAGTTAAGTTATACAAATTAGAAATAAAACACCTTTTACTGTCCTTTCCAAAATTTGGTCTGCCTTTTTCGTGCGTTCTAAATTACCATGAGATATACAAATTTTGTTTGGATTTAATTTTACTAAATAATCAAAGATTGTCTAACTTTTAATACAATTTTTTATCTAAGAAAAAACTAAATATAATCACATTACACGGGATTCCGCAAAACGGTTTTTTAAAACAATATTTAAAAATGAGATGTAGTTTCCGGAAGGAATACATAAGGGTGTAAACAAAGAATTCGGTATTCCTATTGCTAAAAGTGTGGTTATACATGATGTTTTTTAACACAGTAATCAATTTTACTGTAACACGTGCATTAACTGTTCTGTCAATATTTTAGAAAACTGTGACTTTCGATCACAATATGACCTCTTTTACATAATTTTATAGCATTTTATTTAAAATATTTTTTTGTTGGCATTTGCATTTTGAATTAAAAAGTTTAAGATAAACAAATCTGTAAGTCTAAAGACTGTTGAGTTATAGACAAAAACACGTTTGATTTCAAATATAAGAAATCAAATTCTTCTTTCTCTCGTTAGTTCAGGGTGGTAAAAACAGTACTGTAAAATCGATAGCTCTCACGCTCAAACCAATGAGAACTTTGCCAATTACTCTTTAAAGTCGACCCTGCAGTCTTAATAATTGATTCAACTTTTCATTGCACCATAGTTTCAGTAGAAGTAAATATTTTCCTTTACTGATAGAGCTGATTGAAGGATTCATAACTCTAATTGGATCATGAAATAGATAGGAATATTTCTATTGGTTCAGAATAGACACCAAACACATGACTGAACCCTGACTCGGCATACAGGAGTGATTGGAGTCTGGATTTATGTAAAATTTAAACCACTTTCCCCTATTCGTTGTGTTTTATAAGTTAAATTATATTTTTAGCTGAGATGCCAGTGATCTACAGACAAGCCCCTAAGGTGTTACCTAGAGGGGTAGCTGGTAGGAACAAGGCCCTGGACTGGGTACTCAACCAGTACCTGGTTACACTCTCCAGGAAGGAGGAGGGGGAGGAGGAGGAGGAGGGGGTTCATGGGGTACTTTACTTTGCTGATGATGATAATACGTATGATCTTAGACTTTTTGAACAGGTTGCTATATTCAAAAGTTGAAAATTGATTCATTTAAAATGTTTATTATTATATATTTATTCCTTCACAAAAGTTTTTTTTCCGTTATCCATCTTTTTCTTTTGAGTATTACTATTTTGATATATGTTTTAGATACGGCAAACGAAAAGGTTGTCTTTATTCCCAGTTGGTCTTGTATCTAAAAATGGGCTTTCATCACCGATTGTCAGGTAACTGTACACCTGTACAATTAATACTTTACACTGTACAGTATTTAGTACACTTACATTGTTTATTTGTAAATTGTGTACAACTGTACATTGTACACCATATACAATACATAGTACAACATAAACATTTTACACCATTTACATTGTACACCATATACATTGTACACTATATACATTGTACACCATATATATTGTACACCGTGTATAAGTATACCGTGCGCATTGCACAGTGTTTAATGATTTTACAGTTTTGTATGTATCACTACAGTTAACTATACACATTACATTTTACACATCCATTGTAAACTGTACAATGTACACTTCACACTGTACACTGTACCATACTTAGTAAAACATTCGCTGAACAGTACACTATTATTATTGATCCTAGAAGTTGTAGAACGAAACTCCCAAGTTTTCTTTTTTGGATCTATACATTTATGTATATTACAATAGATGAAATAGAAAAAAAGAATATAGAATAGTTCGTATAAACTAACATTCAAGAAAGAAAGTGCTTGCCCCCATAGAGTAATAAAACGAAGAGGTGAAGCTTAGCTCAGATGTACACAACCGACCTCCCTATAATTTAATTAATAGAGTGGTCGGTTGTATACATCACGATATGTTTACGTATCTAACACTGTACGCTTGTATATAGAGTGATCGTATTTCTAAGAAGGATTTTATGAAATTGACCAATTTTTAGATTTTCTTTCTTTATTTAAAGAGAATTCTAGGATGTTCACTGCAAACATTTGACAATTTTCAATCTTGTAGGTTTTGAATTTATTAGCAAAAAGCTGTGTCAAAAATAATAAATTTCTAGGGTATGAATTTAACTTAAAACATTCTTATTTCAAACATTTTCATTGTTTCTTCTCTTCAACTCTTTATCATAAACATGATAGTGTATGCAGGGTTACCCACAAAAGATGAAACAACGATGACGACCTGGAGCTCTTAACCCTAAAAAGGCTGGGGTTTTTGACTAATTTTTAACTCTTCATAAATAGAAATTTAAAGGATTTAAAAAAAAAAATTTTATGCATAAGGTAGGGTGCAGGGCGATAAAAAACCGGAGTATGTAAAAAAAATCTTAAGTAGCCCGTTTTTTATTACTAAAGCTACAGATCTGAAAACTATATTTTGAAAAGCCTTTAAAAAATTGGTGTAGAAACATGTGTCACACTTTGATATTTGTTCAAAACAAAAAAAAATATTTTTAACATTTTTCGACCTTTTTTGCATTTTTTTTCGGCCCTCCCTAGTTATCGATCTAATTTTATTTCAATGAGCTGGCCTTGAAAAGTTTGGCTATGAACATGTATTTAAACCCTATATCTATTCGCTAAGGCCTTTTTCTAAGGGGGGGGGGCTAGGGACGACCCCCCCCAGTCAATCAATAGATTCTGACACCACAGCCTTTATAGGGTTAAACATAAACAACAATCTTTAGTTTCTGTCTCAAATATTGTTTTATCCTTTGTGGGTATTGTGGTATTGTCATAAACACACAGTAATACAGTATACAATAATCCATATTAAGTATCTATTTTATTATCAATACTAATATTCAAATATCTACATAAAACCACCCCTTAGAAATACGATTATTCTATATACAAGTGTACAGCGTTAGATACATCTGAGGTAAGCTTCACCTCTTTGTTTTATTACTCTATGCTTGCCCCTTTCACACAACCCATTGTTCAATTACCTACTTTCATCAAAATACCTTGGAAACTATTCACTGATGAAGTTTGATTTCATTATTTCTCTTTGACCTTGATTCATGAATGATTTAATTTTTCTTCTACAACCATTATTCTTGGAGAATATAATAAAATTTTCTAGCAATACAAAACCATCGCTTGAAATAAATTCCCTTTCAGCAATTTATTTTGCTTTCTTTATTTGTTTGATTCAGGTGCACATAAGTGAATGTCTATCATTTTTTGGTGTTTATCATACAGTTAATTTGTTTTTTATTTATAAATAATTAGGTTTTATATTAGTATGTTTTCATTAACTATTCAAACTTGTTTTTTATTACTTTTTCTTTATTAATTTGATCTAATAGACACAGTTGAATAAAACATGATTGTTTTTGTTGGTTCAAGACAGGTGAAGGTCAAATTTATTCGACGACGCAGTATTATTTTCACGTGTCTGTATCACGTGACCAGTATATACTGCATTGCCATTGGAAGGAGTTCTGGTCACGTGATACAGACGTATATCTTACATATATACGTGTTGGTATAATTTTGAAACAGTTTTATGCCAATTTCTCAAGACTGAAACATCAAATAAATGTCTTATAGGTTTCAATCTACTTCTGAGATTCTCAGGTTTAAGCCTATAACTCTTTTAAATATCCTTTACAGTCCCTTTAATAAGATTTAAATGTTGGTTGCAATTCAATTTAGTTTAAGGTTGGATAATTATATTTTTAACGGAATTTGGATCATTGTCTGTTGTCATCCCATGGGGGCACGATCGACAGATAGAAGTAAGATTAGAAGCGATCAAAAGCATTTTTTTTATCGCATTAAGCCTATACCCCCAGTCAGTTTTCGCGAACACTCCCTTTAAGGGTACTATTGTAAATCGGACATTGCCATCACTTCAAACCTCTCTTAACAGATGTTTAATTTAGAGATGGAGTGATAGTTGGTTTCTATGATGGTTGGTCTGGTGGAAGAGTATTTAGGAAAAACATAATTTATTTAACAACAATTATACATTTTTTTCAAAAATCAATCAGAATTATTTTTCATACTGATAAGTTTTTGCACGAACTAAATTTAGTCAAAATACTTTTTTTAAAATCATATACATTGTTTTTGCAATGATTTTTAAATGAATGAAAAAGGCAAGATTTTGATAATTTTTTTCCTTCAAGTTTTATATTTTCACGCATTTTATGATAAACTTCTTTAAAATTATATTTTTAAATAAAATGAAACGGATTCTGTAAACAGGACTGTACGCATCGTGGCCATCTATGCTAAAATGACAATGCCCGATTCACAACGGAAACCTTTTTTTATCGATAATGTGAAATAAATTGCTTTTGTTTATTCAGGGTTAAAATTGTTTAGTTCTGATAATTCCTTTCTGTAGAAGAAATGCGCAACCGCAATTCACTTTTGAAGAGAAACCACAATTTGCGGGGAATTGAGATTACAGTCCCTTTAATTATTTTAGCTGTAAGTCAATTAGTGCTATATATACCTATTTAGTGCTAGACCTTAATGACAATTATGACTTTTAATTGATAACATGACAAAGTAATTATATAATTTATTTTAAATTACAGTTTTGCTAAATTATTGTTATGCATCACATAAATAATATAAACTTAGAAAAAATGCTACCTCATGGGATGCATATAGCGGGTTTAGCTGTAGTTCAAATGCGTTATAGTAGAATGTGATTAAACCATCATCTTCTTAGTTCTTTGTTGAAATTAAATTAATTTTTTGTTCGATCCGAGTCAAATATTGCAACTTTCTGAATTTATATGTACGCTGTATTCTTCGATATGAGTCGTTTTTAACAATTTTCTCCCTATAGCCGCAACAGATAGAAGTAAGATTGTAAGCAATTACCATCGAATATTTTTCGACGCATGCCTATAACCCCTTTCATCGTTCGTGAACACTCCCTTTAAACTTTAGGATAAAAATATATTAATGTAAAAAAGGTAGACTTTTACAGAATTAAGTTTTGCAATGTAATCAAACTAAGCCATGTCCCATCGCAACTCAGGATAAAATACACACTTAAATAAGATATGTTTGTAGAGTTGATATGGCAGGGTTTGCAGTTAATTTAAATACCCTGTATCAGGTTAGATAATTGTTTAATTATAATTTTTAAAGATCTATATAAAGGGTAACTGAAAAAAACCAAACAATTCACGGTTTTTCTCCCAGAGGCTTCATTATTACCCGATAATAATGAAAAGACTCTAGGCAAATACAGAACCTGCAGTTCCTTCACTTCTTACCTAAACAGTCAGGAAGGGGCATTTGGCCCCCCCCCCTCCTCTAGCTTTGTTGCCCTAGTCCTTTCATTTTTGACACTATCACCGAAAATTATTATTATTAGTAAATAGAAATTGAAAGGATTTTTTAAAAAAATTTTTATGCATAGGATAGGGTAAAGGGCGGTAAAAAGGTCAGGGTTGAGTGAATCCAATAGTTTATTTTCCACATAGTCCAAGAGACGTTGTGATATTGATTTCATTACGATCAAGAAAAAATGAAGCCTCCGAGAGAAAAAATTGTGAAGTTTAATAAAGCTTTTTGCTCTTATAGCTGACCAATCTGCTGAACCAAATTTGCTGAAAATATAAAAGGATTCTGTAGGGTATCCTGTGGGTAACAAAGCCTAAAAAAGAAAAAATATTCTTCATATTCATATTTTTTTCCAAAGTATTTTTTAAGTTCCACGATGGGCATAGGCCGGGCACTTCAGCTATAGTGCATAAGGTCTTTTACTTTTGGTTTTTATCTCCACTAATTGAGTTAGTATAACTCCATATTTGATCTAGGCATATTTGATCTAGGCATATTCTCGGGTAGGATCTGAACTCCGTATGCCGTTTAAAGCAGGATACGAGGAGGACGGCTTCCTTAAACTACTCGGAATAAAACCTCAGTAAGTTTTAATTATGGTTTAATTTTTTTTAGATAAATTTTGTTCTGTAAGTCCCTTACGAAACAACAAAAATATACCGCTTGAACTAATACACAGAACTTTGTGAAAATAAAGTAAAAGGAATTGAGTTTTTCTCACAAACTCTAATATTTTAATACCTCTATCTTTGCAACCCAATGTCGTAGACCTTAGATATTTTAAACTCTAAACTCTGTTAGATCATGTAATCTAAGTTTGAAATGTCACAGGTTTACACCGCCAGGTTGCAAAGATAAAGGGAATGGAATATTCAAGTTTGTGGCAAAGACTCAACTCCTTTGAAATTGATCTATCAAGATCTTTACAGATATATTTTTATAAATGCTTATTTTAAGGTGACAAAGATAGACTTTGGAATAAACTTTGCGGTTTTGTAAAAACTACTTGATTTTAGGATATTTTAGACAGATGCAAAAGATTTGAAACAAGTTTAAAATGATTTAAGAAGAACAGAGAAAACTTTTAAAATTATACTTTCACTTTAAATTTTAGTTTTAACATTTCAAAATCAGTCAGGGGTAAGATTTAATGAAAAGGGGGAAGTAGTTGAACTACGTAGACTAAATTCAATTTCTCTTGTACGTAAAGGTAGGCAGTGTTGTTTTTGAGCGAACAAATTTTTTTGTGAACAAAAGTGTGGTTCAGAATAAAAGAATCATGGGGAACGAAAAAAACAAGAAGGAACGATTTTAAATTTTTTATTTTTGGTTAAAGATGCCACTTTTCGAGGTTCCTTTAATTAAAAAAAATTGGTTTCTACTATTTACATCCGTAATCAAATTAAATCCGTAATCAAATTAAATCCGTAATCAGATTAAAAAAAAAATATTTTGAAGGGATGGGCCAGGGATAGTTTTAACGTTATTCCATAATTTTTAAATCATACTTTAATGAATATAAATAACTGAATAAATTAAAGCACAATTTGGTCATGCAAAATGTTCATGCAAAATGTTCGTGCAAAATGTTCATGCAAAATGTTCATGCAAAATGTTCATGCAAAATGTTCATGCAAAATGTTCATGCAAAATGTTCATGCAAAATGTTATCTTAAAATATTTTTTTATTTTAGGAAGTTTGTTGACACGAATATACCTCTGCTTTTAAAATCAAATTAACTTTATTCTACTCTTTTATCTCTTCATATACATTATACAGTGATACCCAAACAAATGTGGTAAATGAAGACGACATTTGTTTAACCTTTAGTTTATTTGTATGTTATTTTAAATCAAAAAGTTTTACCATGCATTAGAAATAATTCTGTTTGTCAAATGCGCAATTATTCATTTTATGCACCATCAGATTATATAAATAAGTTTTGATGAAAAATGTCCAATCATGTAGAGAATTAAGTTTTAAACCATTTCTTTCAAAATCAAAAGAAATAAAATTTGACAATAACAATAAGTTTTACTGCGGACATGTTAAATGAAAATAAAAATTTTGTCAGTTTTGGTGTTTGTATCAAAAAGAAATAAAACGGCTAAATCATGAAAGTTTTAAGGATCGTCACTAAATGTCAACTGTTAGGATTTTAAAAAATCCACCAATTTAAGCAAAATATGCTGTAATCATTTTTGTTCAATTTGAATACCATGAAAAAATGGCTTTGCGATAAGGAATGATATATATATATATCTATACTTTGGAAAAAAAATTATAATTTGTTCAGCCGCTAAAATGGCACATTTTCGTTAACATTTTTCCACTTTTTAAAACTTTTCTATTAGTTCAATAGCTGAGAAAATACAGTTTTTGCTTTTGACCGCTGGGTTTAAGATTTTGAACTACTTTTTGCTTTAAACCACTGGAATACAGTTTTTCTTTAACTACATTGTCTTTCAACCGCTTTAAGATTTTAAATCACCTTTTTTGCTTTCAACCACTGGAAAACAGAAAGCAAAATAGTTTTTTTAAATCTTAAAACTGGCCAAAGATTGAAAGCAAGAAGTTTTTTAAAATCCTAAACCCAGCGGTTAAAACCAAAACCTGTATTTTCTCATCGGTTAAACTAATAAAAAAGTATTCAAAAATGTTAACGAAAAAAGTACGATTTTAGCGGCTGAACTTATTTGAAGAAAGCTTGAATTTTAGACTGCGTAGAGTCTAGGCTAGATCTCAAACACTCGTTCAGCCGACCCAGCTGAGTTTTTTCTCCAAAGTATATCATTCCTTGAAGAGCAATAATTAGTTTCTTCAACAAAGGAGCACGGAGTGTTCTGGAAGCTTAGTAATTGAGCGTAAATTACACAAAAAAACAATTGTTACATTTTTACTAGATAGTTCGATCGAAAAAATTTGCCAATTTATATACTCATTATTTTCATATTTAGATGCACGCTCTTTTTTGCTTTTATCTTTTGCAAAAATTACAATTAAACCCAAATGATTAAATATTTTAGTGAATTTAAGCTTCATTATTTGTACTTTATCTATAATCAAACTGTAAGATACTAAGCAAAGTAATAAATTTATTTATTAAACCATGTTATCATGTTTTAATCAATGACAGTAGTGCTAAGGAAAGGCGGATTACAAGTTTGTATCAATGAGAGTAGAACAAAGGAGAAGAGGATTAAAGATAGTTTGTATCAATGAGATTCGAACTAAGGAGAGGAGGATTAAAGATAGTTTGTATCAATGAGATTTCAGCTAAGGAAAAGCGGATTAAAGGTTTGTATCAATGAGAGTAGAACAAAGGAGAGGGAGATTAAAGATAGTTTGTATCAATGAGAGTAGAACAAAGGAGAGGGAGATTAAAGATAGCAATGATAATAGAACTAAGGAGAGGGAGATTAAAGATAGTTTGTATCAATGATAGAAGAACTAAGGAGAGGAGGATTAAAGATAGTTTGTATCAATGAGAATAGAACTAAGGAGAAGGGGAAAGGGGTTTATTACACTTTACTGTGACGTCATAGGATAGCGCATGAGAATTAGTTTAGTTGTAAACAAGAAGACAACAATGTAAACCGTAACCTTTACGTAAAGTGTACACCGTCGCACACTTTGGACCGTAGAACGTACAACGTACAGTGTACACATAGCGAGAGACCCTGTATACCTGTACTCCATAACCTGTACACCGTAGAACGTACACATGGAGACCCTGTATATTTGTAAACGTAAAGGATGACCCATCTCTGCAGCTGCTTTCTTTTTCTGTTTAGTCTAACTGTGACAGGGGTAGGAAAAGGAATTAGAACAGATATATAGATATTTAGATCTAACAGATAGATAGATATATCTAGGGGATTAAAGATAAATATCATTGAGTTTCCCTGCTGTGTTTACAAACAAGAAACAGTACGTGAATATTAACGAGAATGGATGAGGTAATTTTTGAAAATTATTAGTTTTGAAAATATTAGAATGTTTTAGTCTAAATACAAATGTGTTCAGAATAGTTTTAACCCTTTCCAGGCTGACGTCTCCTTTACCTAAAATCCCTCCTTTTCCTTATTGTGATACAAATCAATAACATTTGATACATTTTTTCAAAGCCCTGGGGCTCTACCTGAATAACCTTAAGAAAAAATTAGAAAATTTTCAAAATTTCAAATATTTATTGCAAAATTTAGTTATTTAGCAAAAAAAATGTGCAAAAAAACAAAAAGTGCGATATTTTTGGAAAACTCTAGGACCCAGCAAATTCAAAGGAATTGGGTCATTGCCACAAACTCTGATGTAATCCCTTTATCACTATAACCCAATGTTGTAGACCCTAGATATTTCAAACTATAAATTCTGATGGATCAAATAATTAAAGTTTGAAATATCAAAAGTTTACGCCATCTGGTTTTATAAGTAAAGGTATCAGAAAATTTGGATTTGTGGCAAAGACTCAATTCCTTTACTAAGATAATTGCAACATTTTGAAAACCTTAATGTGTAATCAAGAAAAACTAAATATGCGCAAAATTTCTTTGCAAAAATTTGTTTAAGGCTTTCTAAAAGCTATACAATGTTGAAATCCAATGACTAGAACTAGGTCTAAAATAGACTTTTTCAAATATAGGTAAAACAAGGCATTTAATCAGTATGCCTGAAGATTCAGGCAGAATATGTAAAAGCTCGGCATTAAAACTAAAAGGAGGGGCATGTGTTTGAACAGCTTCAGAGAAATAATTTTTGAGTTGTGTCCAAAAAACTTAAGGGAGGTCCCATAGACATCCCCCAGCTAGCTGGAATAGGAATAGGGTAAACAAACTAAATAGATATATTAAAGGAAAAACAGATAATTTTTCTTAATTGAAAAGTTCATAAAAGTCTTATAACGTTAGATAAGTTAAGTGTAGACGTGAATTACACGACTCGTTCCATCATCCTATGTATGTAGAAATTGGCATAGTTACAATATCAAACCAAAACCAAATAAAAACTGTATTTTTTCGATAGCTCGTCCAAAGATCGTTTTGTTCCAAAGCGAAACGATTGCAAAACAAAACGATCGATATTTATTTTTAATTACTAAAAACGAAAAAAATTCTTTTTTGTCTTTACAGTTAACTGTGATGTTTATGTTTATATTTAAGAGCTGCAACTTTTATAGTATAAACAAACATGATTCTGAATATTTTGAAACATTCTTTTATTGAAAATAAAAATAAGATTACAAAATCAAAAATGTGTTTTACAGAAGCTAAGAATTGTATCACACCATAAACTAGACCTAAAGCCGGATAAAATCTAACTCATAAAAAATTTGTTTCCAAAAATAATTTACAATTCAATGATTAGAAAAGGTTTGTTGAGATAATGACTTTACATGAGTATTTATAGCAAGTCATGGAAAGCGCGTAAAGACTATTTAGAAACTTTAGAAACTGCAAAGAAACTGAGTTTTTGCAACAAACTCAAATTTTCTAATCCCTATAGCAACCCAAGGCCAAAGACATTTGATATTTTGTTAAATCAAATAATCTAAGGTTATGTTAGTTATTTTCCCAAAAGCATTTTTGCCGCTTGGAAAAATACCGTTTGGAAGCTGCACCATGGAAAAAAAGCATTTAAGAAAGTAACTAACGTCTTAAAGATTTACACGATCAGTTTGCAAAGATATGGGGATTTGAATTTGTGGCAAAACCTAATGTATTTTCAAGCATTCAAAAATGCAAATTTACAAAATCAAGTTAAAATATTTAAAAACCACTTGCAAAGTTGCCAAAAACTCGAGTTGTAGAGATGCAGAAATATTTATTGAGATTAAAAATGCCAAAAATGAAGCAAAATGACCTCTCCCACAAGTTACCTTAGTTTTGCAAATATTAAATTATGAAATAGATATTGCTGCATGTTTATAATTTTAAAACTGATTATTTTTAATTGTGGTTTATCTACAAAAGTGACTAACACGTTTCTACTGCATGAAAACATGTAATACCTATTAAAATTAAACACGTTTAAAATCTAGAAAAAAGACAGTATCTTCCATAAAGGTGTTAAGGATACCGTTGCAAATCATTCAGTGCCATCTTTGAATGAAGGGTTATTTGAAATTACGCTTACAGTCTCTTTAACAAGTCATTCTTGAACCAGGTCTGACTCTGAATATCTGAATGTAAATATTAGTTCTAGAATATACTAGATCAGACTTGATCCACCTATACATGTATTTAGCTTTTTATAAATGATCTTTTCTCTTTGAGCTATTGCTCAGAGTCTGACTCATTTCAATCTTTGCTTCTTAGTTAATTAATTGCTTCTTTATCCTTGCTTCTGGCGTCTTAAATTTTTGTTCTTGGTTCTTATTATTTTTTTTTCTTGCTCATTGCTCATTTCAATTTACTTCTTGGCCTTTGCTTCTTGTCCTCTATTAATTTATTTTTTGTTCACAAACTGTCCTTTTACTTTTAAACTTTGCTCAAAGGTTTGCACGTTCAGGTCCTTCTCATAAAATATTTGTTTAATATCACAATTATGTACAGTGAGACTCATGAAACTTTGGAATATGTATACGACTGTTGGACTCAATTGTCATGTTTTGAATATTGAACACAGCAGTTTTGTAGATGTACTATATTGTAGATGTATTATATTGGTATAACTATTAGTGTTATAACAACAACAAATATACATAAAAATATGCTCAAATTCCGTAATCCTATTCCATAGTGTTTTTGGTCTCACAATTAGATAGACTTTTCATTTTTTTTGTATTACTTCTTTGTTTGCAATTTTCCTCTCTTTTTGATATGTATTAGAAACATGACTGTATTATTATATATATATTTATATATATATATATATATATATATATGCAGGATCTGGGCATTAGGTTTAGGTGTAGCTCGAAAATACAAATAAATATATATATATCTAGGATCAAGCTGGGAATATAGGTTTAAATGTGGCCAGAATATATCATCTCTGCAGCTGCTTTCTTTTT